TGTTAAGCATTGAAGCCGCTTTTAACAAACAATCCACTCCAATGGAAGGCTATGTCACATTTTTATGTTGATAGATAAATTCAAAATTATTTACAAATATCCTGTGAAATACACCAACAGCGCAACAGTTGTGAAGATAATGCAGCGTCGCCAACGATACGCTTAATACGCTGATATGTATTAGCGGCAGATTTGTTAGTACGAGTATGGTGTAAGCTATTATGCCGCCTAAGTATCATTGGCTCATATCATATCATACAACTGCTCTTGTATTGTACCAAAAGTAGGTACGCCATGGCGTATCAGCAACTAGTACTTGATCGCATCTCTACTGAAGTAGCTATTCGAGTTAATCTATTTGAAGTACATTAATATGATTTGAAAAGCTTTATTTTTCCGCTATGTTTTGGAGTGTTGCTAACGATTAGTGTGCGTTGAAGTAGTTATAGTTATCATCTCCTTAAGGCTTTAAGTACATAAGTTAGACTTTATTTTGTAAGTCAAGTGAGCGACACTTATGAATGCATGAAGAGCACTTCCAAGAGTAAGAAATGTATTTTCGAAGGATGTTAATAAACATCAAAAGCCACGAGCTGAAGAATATGTGAGAGTGTTTAGCTCTTGCGATGCGTTTCTATAAGTAAAGGATAATTCTCATGTAAATTTAAACATTTACTATGGGCCGGTTGTTCGATTTCTGATTATCACTACCTCCCAGTTAAACATCGTTATCGACGTTTTCGACGTCATAGATATAACATGTGATCGACAAAGCAGTCGCTGTATTTAACCGTAGCTTATACCTCCGATTTGTGTTAACCAGACTTGAAACAACCGGTCCTATGTATGTCATATATGTATAAGGCGGCATTCCGCCAGAACATTGCAAACGAATAGTTGGCTTAAAGTCACCAGGCCATTTTCTACCGGTCCTTGAACGAGATCTATCACGTACCACTTAGTCCTCTCTACTTAATGATTGTCTTAATGCTGTGTGGCTACGATCAAGCAAATAGGTTCTTGTTAATACATACCATGTTTGGACCGACATCGAAAACAGATTGAAAACGCGTTTAGTTGATTGAGGATTCTAAGCTGTTTGCAACGGCTCCTACACAGTTCGCATTAAAATGGATCCAAAAAATTTGTCCATCAGTTTTTAGATAAATATTTTTGGATCTAAAAACTACTTTTCTTGAAATTCTATTTGATCGTGTTTTCGAAAAAAACTAAAAAAAAAAAAACGCACATAACCTTCTTGATGCACTTATCTATTAACAGATTGACTATTTTTCATCCGATTTTAAAAACCAAACATGTTACCTTTAAAATGATGTATAACAATATATTGTTAGACATTCCTTGTTGGAAATTTCCATCGGTTAAATTTTAATAAGTGCCTATTTTTCTTAATTTCTTCAACTTTAACCATCGCTGATTTAAAAAATTTATTTAAAAGTTGCCAAACATGTAGTATTTACTTAAAATAATATTTACTTTCGAACATATTGGTACCTCCCTAAAGCAATTGCATAAAAACTTTCAAAAAGTTATACGATTTCAGAAAAATACTGCCTTGAATTTATATGTGTATGTACCGGACTTTCAGATTTCGTGACCAGTGTGCCAAGGAATTCGTCAATATTAAAAAAAAAAAAATTATATATACAATGGCTCTTAAGCAAAAAATTTATTTTTCATACAATTTTAGGAAAATGAGAGTGGTACCGCCCACTTATATAATATACACGTATCTCAAAAACAACTTAACCTATATTGGACAAATTTGATATACACATTACGCTTAGCCTCCTTAAGTACCTCCTTGAATATTTTTGAAATCGGACAAAACCTATTCTCCCTAAAATATAGCTGGCTTTGAGTTTTTTGAAATTACCGGTATGTGGGTGGAGAGCGTGGTTTCTGTCCGAAAGGTGCTTAAGGAGGCTAAGCATAATGTGTATATCAAATTCGGTCGTGATCGGTCAAGTAGTTTTCAGATACACATATATTGTACAACTGGGTGATGCCACGACCATTTTCATAAAATTGTATGAAAAATAAATTTTTAGCTTAAGACCCATTGTATAAATATACCAATTTTTAGTAAATATTGACGAATTCCTTAGCCACACTGGTCACGAAATCTGAAAGTCAGGTACATACTTACATATATAAATTCAAGGCCGTCTTTTTGCTGAAATTGCATAATTTTTTGACAACTTTTATGCCATTGCATTACGTGAGGTACCAATTTATTCGAAAATAAATATTATTTTAAGTAAATACTACATGTTTGGCAACTTTTAATAGACATTTTTGAAATCAGCTACATATGAATAAAGTTCGGACGAATCAAAGTTAGCCACCCCATGCTAGAGAAAATCATACTAAACAAATTTGAAGCCTACCAACGCAGCTATTGGATGTATTTTCGATTTTATTTTTCTGATTTTCTACATTGCGGAAAATTCAAAAATCAAAAACTAACATAATTTTTAAGAAACATCTTAACAGGGCCGGGTTTAATACTGAAATATACTACACATACATACATATGCATGGAAAAAATTTGGTTTTGCCATTGAAGTTATAAAATTTTATCTATTTCATGACATCCAAAAAAATATTTTGGCTCAACTCGCGCTTGAAAATGTATCTAAAAGCGATTTTTTTTAAGAAGAAAATTTAAATTGCAAAGTTTTCCGTTCAGTAAATGGCCTCGGATAGTGGTTTAAATCTAAGAGTTCTACAAAAACGAATCCATTCACATGCCATAAGTTGGAATTATATCAAAGCTTAAAATATTTTATGAAATTAGTGCATTCTAATTAAGTATGGAAAACTTGACGAGGCGATTGTTGGACAATAATACGGGAAACAAAGTTAGCGAAATACAAAAGGTAGTTAAAGGTAGTAGTAGTAAAAGGTAAATTTGTTCACCAGCATTAAACTTTTTACCCTGTTCATCTCTCTTATGTTGAATTTTGAGAGACATTAGGGGTATTCTCGCAGTCTGGCAAAGCTCTTGTACGGTGCACGGTTTGCAAAGCTGTCCCATAGGAAACCCGGATTTTATCGTGCAATCCGTGCACTGAGCAAGGGCTTTGCAAGACTCCGAGAATACCCCTATTGTGCATTTCATTGCATTGTAAAACATTTTAAAGATTTCTCGGTAGTTGAGGTTTTTGCTGCTACCGAGGGGTTAATACCTAGTTTTCTTCAAATAAATGTAAACTGTGGTCTCATGTTTCATTCGCTTAGTTCCCTTTTCTTAGTGGGGGTTAACACAAATTCGGCCGAATGAGAGTTAAACCGTCAGTGTATAAACGGCCCTTAATGGTTTGTAGGATAAAATTTCGTGAATTACAATATGTACTAAAATAGCCACCTTCTTATCAAACGCATTTGCAAAGCTTTTTTTTTATTAAACCATCTTTGAGCCTATCATATTACTTAATCGTTTGGGATTCTACACAGGTGTATAAAGAATGCACAAAAGAATGTTAAACGCTGTTTTTTAATCAAATTAAACAAACGATTTTAAATTTATAACAATTTTTTTTTTAATTTTACTCAAAAGACTTATGTGTGAGAAAATTTTAAGTTATGGACTTTTCATAAAACTCGGTCTATAAAATCCAAAATACACCATATAGCTCCGTTAGTAGTCATATAATGTTTTTAATAAAATTCTCTTCAGCAAAGGGTGGCTAGATTTTTATCGTCCGAACATTTTCCTGATTTCAAGATGGTCAAATCTGAAACGAGTTTTTTCTTACATTTTCTGCATGTTTTTTTCTATAGTAACTAAACTAGCTGTGTGATTTGTGACTTTGAAGGCAAAAACTTTTGTTGGAGTCTCGTTTACAAACCTCTCTCAGATATAAAACCGACAGGATTGCAAATACAATTTTTCATATTTTCACTGATATCTCAAAAACTAGATCCGACATAGAGACACCATTATGATATTCGAAAAGTTTTATTTCATTCTTGGTGAATAAAATTGGTCAAAAATTGTTGAGTAGTGAAGTTTGAAATACTGTTTTACATGGTTTTGGTTAAAGCATGAATAATGAATATTTAAATAAAATAAAACAAACACGTGAACATTTGTTTCAGTCACCATTATATATAAGTATAATATTACATTCCCACCGCACTTAAATCTGAGATTTCGACCTCGAAATCTTAAAAACCTGTTTAAGTGTTTCCACCGCGCTTTCTCTGGATGTCGTTGACATTTTCTAATTAGCGTGTGTGTTTGTGTGCGCTTATTTATGTAGAGAATTTTGACATTTTAGATGAAAAAGTCTGCAGGGTTGAACTTTTTAGTATCTAAAGATTTGTTCGTTTTACAAAAGTGAAGATTTCGATATTGATTGAAATCCAAGAAATCGAAATCATAAAAATAAATGGGAAATCCACCTGGATTTCCAAAGATTTCGCGAAATAACAGATTTCAGTGCAGTGCGAATGTACTATAAAAAATTTAATTTGTTTGAAATTGGTTTTGTTTTAATTCCATAGTAGAGGAAAACTCTATGGGTATCGATGCACGCTCTACGATGCATCGACATATATCTATGTAAGTTTCGATGCATCGATGGAAGGAAAAACATCTATGTATTTTTGCCATCGACATCCATAAATTCAATGGATAAATAAGCAAGGAATGAGTGGTCAAATGGAAATGCCAAACAAATTTTGGGTATGAAAAATTACAGAAAATAATGTTACGCATACGCCATGTACACCAGGGTAACAGTCTTTTTTGCTCATATTTCATACAAAAAATCCTTGCGCAATTTCATTTCACCACTCATTCCATTCTTATTTATCTATTGATTTTCTTCATTTGTAGCTTAATTTTTTGTAACAGAACAGGCTTGAAAACTATGCATGATAAAGAAGTGTTTAAATTAAAAACAAATAAGGACGGCTTTACATTTGTGTAAAATCATAGTATGTGTCACGTGTACGAATTTTTAAATTACCTGAAACGCTACAAGATTCCAGATTTCTTCATGCGATGAGAACACACACGCTGTGTAGTTGCGTCCTTTAAAATAGTAGAGCTGAACTGAGTGTGATAACGCCACCGGAATAGCTGATGTCACAATGAGCACCCAGGCGCAAATGATGGCCCTGCAAGAAAAATGAAGATTATTAGCGCATATTTGAGTGACATTTTAATCTGACGCCTAAGGAGCATGAACAGCGCTTCACGTTCAAAGAGCAAAGTGTGAAAAAGTATAAGAACTAAATAAATATCGAGTAAGAATATTGTGGACACTTGACGTGTGCATGAATATACATGGAGGGCTTTATGTGCATATGTATGTAGAAAAGGTAGTTAACTCACAGCATCGCATTACGTTCGGTACGCAAGGACATACTCGTCACCGGATGCACCACAGCTAAAAACCGGTCGAGTGACATTAGCACCAGCGTATAGACGCTGCCATGGCAGGTGACTACGATCATATACTGTACGAATTTACACCACAAATTACCAAACGGCCATTCGGGCAATACGTAGTCGGTAGCGGTGAAGGGCACACAGAAGATGACGAAGAGTATATCCGAAATAGCCAGATTGATGATGAGCAGGTTTGTGGTAGACCGCATCTGTTGGTTGGCGACAACAACTGTAATGAGATAAATGAGATAAAAAAGCACAATATGAAAATATATGTAAGTATATACATAAATAAAACTATGTTGTTTCTATGCTATGAAATATACTCATTCTATGGGTAATTAATATGTAATTATTTCCCCTTTATATGTAGATGCATAAAAGAATATATTTACTTGAAATCACCCTTTGTCTAGACGTGGAACACCCGCCAGAGACAGAAAATGTATCAACAGAAGCATAAATCCGATTGCTTGCGAAACTCTAGTCTAGTCTTTCAAAATCTTTGTTATATGTATTTACGTGGCAGACGCAAGTACATCGCACGACTTTAATTGGTAGCCAAATGGTCAGATGCTTCATTACGAGGTTATCCTGTGTGACCTGGCACCCAGCCAAAAATAAGTAACTTAGTAGAGGCTTGCATTTTCGAACTAGTTTGGAAGAAGTGGAGGGCGGCCCAATGCCTAGAACGCAGCTTGGATCTCACTAAAAACATGTAAACTCTTAGCTTTCCACATTTTTTCCACCAAGTAGTACATAAACGAGAGAACAACTTGTGTAAATTTAACTTAAAATCGATGTAAAATATCTTAGAACTCATGGTACAATAATTACAGGTATTGTCTTGCCTGAGAGCACATATTCCGTTTTGCCTTATTTGATAAACATCATTGTTGCCCATACTAAAAGGTTTACTGCTAGGGAAAAGGGATATTTCCATACCCCATATACCATATATGTACACGTATTTTTTTAAACAAACCTTCTTGCAGAGGACTTATTTAATTTGCAAAAGCCGAAAAAAACGTTTGCTTAATAAATAAAATCAAAATTGGTATGGCTCACTTCATTTCAAATGATTTTTCTTATGTTTTGAAAAATTATAAAAATGAAATTGAGCGAAAACAAAAAGCAAAGCCAAATAAAAGTACAAGAATCAACATTGAACTGCGTCAAAATGAAAATAAGGGAGCACGAATTTCGATGTGAAGCAAAACTCTCTGGGAAGATAATACCTTTAATTATTGTACCATGCTTAGAACCTACGAACTTTTTTCTTACTAATGACGTTTTCTTTTCTGCGGAAAAATGTTGCCTTCTCTTTTCCTCTGCTCACAAATACAATAAAGAGGGACATGAAAAGGGAACATTTTTGGTAGAAAAGAATACGCCATAAGTCTTGTTGTTAATTTTCACGAATAAACTTAGATAAAACTAAGTTTAGATTTTACTTAGGCACGTAGGTATTTTATCAATGTGAACTGAACATTTAAGTTCTAAGTTGAAATACCGAAGTTATTAAGGGCCACATAGTAGTCGGACAACTATTTTTTTTGGCGAAAAACACATTTTCTTAAGTTAATAAAAATAAAACTATGATTGCATATTCCACTTCAGAAAAACTCAGGGAATTTAGAAATCAATGTTCTTTTAGGAGAAAGCCAAGTTTGTTCATAATACTATACCAAAGTCAAAAAACATTAATTTACCAAATTTTTAGAAAAATTTTACATATCTTTAACAGAAAAAGCGAAACGAGATGAAGTTTTCTATCTGCGGTTTTTATGCAGGTGTAAATGTATGTTAATAGTTCTAAAAAATTTAGCGCCCATATTTGAGCCATTTTGAGTCTTAGGCATTTGAGTGCGCTCATGCTCTTGCGCGCATAGTAAACATAGAGTGGGAGTGCGCATAACAACGTCACTATGTATTTTAAGCCTAATATTTTAAGTTAATGGAATAAATAATTGTTATTTTATAATATTTTGCATTAAATAAGCAATTTATTTGAACACTTGGCATTATTACTCGTAGCTTCTTAATTTTCTAATTAAGATATTATGCTGTTGCTATTTACCAAAGTATTCCTATTTAGTATCTCTAACACTTCTTTTTCATACTTTGAAAAAGTTTATTTGCAAATAAGTAAAAAGGGTGAGAACATACCTTTCCAATTATACCTCCATGGTGTAAACAGCTAAAATTTTGGCTGAGTTATTTAAGTTTATCTTAAACCTTAACTTATATTAACCTTAAACATTTCCAATATTACTACAAAAACTTCTATACAAAAATAGTCTTGCCCAATTCGCAAAGTTTCGCAATTTTGTAACCAAAGTCAAAATCCACTTCTGTTTTTCGTTAAGTCACGCCAGCGCATATGTTTACTAATATTTTTAAGGGCCGTTTGCACCACGTCTAGTTGACACTAATTGGATGTACATCCTTCAGTTAGAGACATGGACTGCTTTATCGATCACATGTTATATGCTGGGTGTCGATAACGTCGATTACGATGTTTAACTGGGAGTTAGAATTAATCAGACATGGCACAAACGGCCCTAAATCCCTTCTGCCAACAGTTGTAATTCTTTTACTGAATAAAGGGTAATTTAATTACAAATATTTATTATTTATTACAAATATCACGTAACGCCAGATTCAAAATGCGTAGGTGAATTTATATAAGATGGTGCTACTAGATCAGCTGATTTTGTGTATGTGTTTCGCTTCACGGCTTCTTATTTTAAATTGAAAAATGTTTTTTGAATTTCCACATATACTCTTACAGATTTGACAGTTTCTGCCATCAAAGCAAAAACCAAATACATGTAAATTTTTGTTTTTGTATTCCTGCTATCATTTTATATTAATTCGCCTTGGAAATACGCATATACAACAAAAATATTCTTTAAATTCTCTTCTAAAAAATATTCATTCGATCCTATAGCTGTAGTACTATTTTAAAACGTATACCACAAATCATAAAAATACTCTTTTCTAACATAAATTAACACTTCTGGGTCAACGGGGTATTTCCAAACCCGGTCCTGGAATTTTTTTTTTTGGTTTCGCCCTTATCTACTTATCAAAAAAACTCATAAATTAATTTTGTCCAGCTAGCTTCCTCTACTCGCCACACTATGCGACGTCACGAATTTTCTTCCATACTATTTACGTTCGACAATTTATTTTGTATGGAAGAAAATAATAACACCGTCGTCCATATAAAACGTAGATAATAATATATTCTGAGTGGAATTAAAAAAACGTCACCGTAACATTTTATTTCAAAGAATGTAGTTTTAACTTTTGTTTCCGGGAAGAGCCTACACATGGCTTGCTCTGTTTAAAATAAAGGGTTTGTTGTTGTGAAAATTTTGTAATTTCTCTATTGAAATGTGGATTTGTGTGTAGACTTTAATAAAGAATTAATAAACATTAAACAAACAAAAGAAAAATATTTAAAACTCTTCAAAATGTCGTGTCCATACTTTTTTCAAAAGACAGTATCTACATATATGCAACTTTATAACGTCTTTCCACGAACAATTCGCTGTTAGCTTATATCATTTTGTATAAAAAAATTGATGTGGCAAAAGCAATTTTTTTCGTATAAATGAGGGCCTTGTGCTCAAGAATAAGTTTTAAATAAGCTATGGTAAAACGACTTAGTTTTTAGGCAGATTAACTCAGAACTTAATACAATTTTCTGGCTTCATACATTGACTTGGTTAAAATAACTAAGCTTTCGGAACTTTGTAAAATTATTGGTTTAACCGTTGAATTTTTTTGCTGAAATCAACCAGATTATGTTGAGATTACTGAGTTCTTTGTCATTAAAAAATGAAGCTTACCTAAGTGAAGCTTCATTATACAAAATGGCTTTCTATGATTATTAAGTTAAAAATTCAAAAGTTTTTTCGTTCAGTGGGGTTAAGACTCTAGAGCATCGGAAGTAGCTCGGCTTGGAGTATCGGCAGACTCCGGATCCTGACTCAGTGTCAGCTTTGGAGCCACTGCATGACCTATTTCATTCAATATTTTACCCGCTGCTTTTTCTACTGTGGTGTTGCTCGTTTTCAAGCTTTTTCGCCATGCAAATAATATCAAAGCTAATATACAATAATATATGTACATACATATGTATGTATTTTAATAAAAATTTCGTTGTTATCCATATGTATGTATTTATGCATATGACAATATTTTTATATTCACATATATTTTTCTTCCAATTAAATTAAGACACACTCAATCTCATACAATTGCACTTTCATGGTTACCGAGAAAAGTCTTGGTTAATATTGGAATTCGTTATGTAACTTCTTTTTTAAGAAAACTGAAAGTATATGTACTTGTATATTTGAAGAACAGTCGATTGCTGGAAAGTTATTTACTGTGCCTGAAAAAGAGGCCGCTAAACAATGAAAAAGCGGAACTAAATATGTGAGCAGTGCAACGCTTACGACACTTAATTGAAGGAAATGACAATGCCATCAGCAGAGGCCACTTTGTACATACACACTCATATAAATCTACTCCAAACTATGCAGTAAAATTCAGAGACAGTCTAGCAAAGCGTTAGCTCCGCACTACTTAATTTATAATGATTTGCAAACTACTGCAAAGCGAATGTAAAACTAGGCAATTGAAAGTCGCGTTTTGCTAGATGTTACAAATTCAGGGACTTCTTATAATTCCACAGTAGCGTCGTGAGAAGACCACCGCTTCCGACATTGTTGGTCGCGATTTTAAATCGTGGTGCTGGATGACGTGATTTTTTCAATTTCGTAATTTGTTATGTACCGCTAGAAATTGAGAAAATAATCATTCTTATATTTAGTTAAAATTGAATAAAAAAAAGTAAGTGCGCCTGGGCCACACTGGAGAAGTGAAACTTACGATACGAATCTCTTTTTTCTCATAACCAATATGTACATACATACATTCATCTGCTTTTGCTTAAGGTTATATTTTTTGTCTTTTTTCTACCTAGATCCCTGCCTCTACTACTGTTCGTTCTAATTACATTTATCTTATTCTGTTTTCCTTTATCTTCATTTTTATCTTTACACTCTATCGATAACAAAATCGATAATAACATCCAACAAAATATACCAAAAATGGTTATAATATTGGTAGCAAAATTGATTAGAAAATCGATAAAAATATTGATAACAAAATCTATAAAATATCGATAAATAATCGATAACAAAATCGATA